TTCTTATCTGTTTGTTATGCTTGGCTTTCAGCCACCGAGGTTTTGGTTTCTTGCTAATAAAGTGCTGTGAAACTCCAGTTACGCTTGTCTCGGCATTCGTTAACTGGACGGAGGAGGGGGTCAGAACAATACCATTCAAAAGAGATGATCCAAAAGCTAAAAAGGACATAAAAAGACCAAAACCAGCAATCAGCATCCAGATGAGCAGAGATTACCACCAAGATTAACACTAGCAATAATCAAAAAGTAAACAATACCCCAATCAAGGAACTACCAATTCAGACAAACCAGCTAACCGTAAACAAAAGCCTGGTCAAGAACCCAGCGTTCCCAGTTTTCTTCTTATGCTAACAGAATGTAGTCTGGCGAGCTGAATATGGAGATACGTTGAAGGACGAAGGAAGCAAGGAAGGGGGAAAAAAATCAATTACAAAGTCCTGCATTTTCTTTTCCTATCAAAAATTGAGACATCTGCCTTGTTTCTGAAAGAAAGCAGTCAAAGATGCTTTTTTTCTGGGACTGCCAAGGCAAAGCGCCCATTCACTAGTGAGGCAAAGGAGGCAAGAATCAAAATATCCCTTAGCATGATGCCATTAGTTCCCAGATGGGCATGTGATTTGAGAAACTCCATTACAACTAGAAACACTCCTGCAGAATAAATGGGTGTAGGAATTTGGCATGGTAGGCAGGGGTGGAATTAACTTACCTTTCCTACTGGTTCGCAAATGTGAGCACGGCCATACGCACAGCCTTCCGCTCATGCGCTTTTGGCAAAAAAAGGGCCTAAATGGGATGCCGTAGACGCGGGGCCAGACGCGATTTCCCCTACCGGTTCAGGCGAACCAGTCTGAACCGGTAAAATACCACCTCTGCCGGTAGGGATATTGTTAATTTACAAGAATGAACTAGAATGTACAGGAAAGCCGAATGATAGGTTTCTTTTATCACCTGCCTCCAAGAAAAAGGAGAACATTTCAGAATTAAGAGACCAAGCAGAGCTTAAGCATAGGAATACAACATAATTTATACTGCAGAAGAGATAAATCTCTATTGTACTTTTTCTGGCTTTTGGGGTTTTTTTGGTGGCGCTAAAGTAAAATGGAGCTTGGAGAGCTAACCTGAACCTCAGGCATCGGAATAAAATAGGTTCATCAGGCATTGAAACTTTAGTACATGTGCATTAAACTCAATTATGAAAGCCTTCCTACTGGTTCTGAGAATTTGGTTGAGGCTTAATTATACAACACAGCCAGAATCCTCCATCAGAAGTTCTTCAGGTTTGTAAATTGGAGCAACAAGTTGCCCTTCAAAGCATTCCTTTTCAGGCTTTGCGTTAGATGTGACTGAAGGGAAAATGATTCTTCAGGGGGACCGGAAGCTTAACCTTGCCTTGTAGGAAGAAAAGATGGTGTTAACCGTTTCCAGCTCTTTTCTCTTGGCTATAACTTCTGACAACCTGTGAGAGAGCAGGCTGCCCAGAAAATTGCTAGCACCCTTCTCTTTAAGCCTCCTCGTCAGTTCACTCATTAGCACGGCAAAGCTCGTGGCACGACAAAACCGCGGTCCGCAACAGCGCGCCCGATTAAAGCGCGTCCCTGACGTCATCAGCTGC